AAGAATACGAGACAGAAGGTTGTGGATAGATATGACTACCAACGCCACACGTAGTGTACTTCAAGGGGAAGAAGAAGATTATCATCATTAAAGTGTTAACCCTACACACTGCAATCACGGAAAGGGGAAAGAAGGGGGAAGAAGGGGGGGGGGGAGGAGAAAACTCAGCAACAACAAAACATACACACACACACAAAGGAAGGGACAGGGGCAGGGCTGTAGTAGATGGTGCTTTGTGTGACGCCGTGGCAAACCCAACCTTAGAAGTTTGTTGTTTTGTTGTTTTTGATTGTTTGTGATTTCGCCAAGCAATTTTCAAGTTCAATAGTTCGCATTGCTTAGTAAAATGTCGGCTGTCGATATATCTGTTGAAACCAACACAAGACGGTGTTATGTCACATCGCCCGCAGCTGGGATCGAACCCACCAGCACGGAATTTCGAAGCAACGTGCTAACAGGATAAAAAATCGGATGCAATTAAGTAGATTCTTTACTCTTAAAACCTGCTGTAACATTTCAAGTGATCAATTATTTGTTGTCTGTCATTATACTCTTCTTCTTCTTCTTCTTCTTCTTCTTCTTCTTCTTCTTCTTCTTCTTCTTCTTCTTCTTCTTCTTCTTCTTCTTCTTCTTCTTCTTCTTCTTCTTCTTCTTCTTCTTCTTCTTCTTTTTCTTCGTCTTCTTCTTATTCTTTCCTCCCTTTCCCCCTTTTTTCTCTCAAATCCTTTTTTTCCGGCTATCGACGTCAGATCTTGAAGAATAAACCGGTGAGAGGCTCTGGGCCTGAAATCACGGCGTCGGATGTTTCACCTATCCATCGCTTGCTTGGTCGACCTCTATTTCTGATTCTGTGGTGCCCAAGTGAATTAGCTCTCGTGTTGCACTGTCTTGGGGTAGTGTTGACACATGTCCGATTCATTTGATATGTTTCTCTTGATGTCATTTATTTACTACTAGTTCCGTACCAGCTCGTTTCCGGATATCATGACCACCATCATTATCATCACGATCACATCATCATCATTATCATCGTCATTATCGTCATAATCATCACTGTCATCACCCCATGATCCCCAACACAATCATCACTACCATCATTACTACCACCATCATCATCACCACCATTGCCACCACTATAGTTATTATTATTATCATCATTACCATCATTATCACCATCACCATCGTCATCATCATGATCAACATCATCATCATCATCGTCAACATCATCATCAGCATCACTATCATCACCATCATCATCATCATCATAGTCATCATCGTCATCATAGTCATCATCATCATAGTCATTATCATGATCAACATCATCATCATCACCATCATCATCATCGACATTATTATCATCATCGTCATCATCATCATCATGGTCATCATCATCACCACCACCATCACCATCATCACCACAGTTCTAAACTAAAAGTTCTTAATCACCATCACTACTAACTCTAGCAAATGTAAACTAACCCCCCCCCCCCCCCCTCCCTTCCCCGTTTTCTACTTGTTCGAACAGATGCAGCAATCGGATGTGAGTACGGAGACATGAGCGTCAGGTGCGACGCCGTGCGCCAGAACCCTGGCCTTTGTTACCGGCCGGAAAACCAGAGGATCTGCTGTGAGTCGTGCAGCCAGAGCCGAAATGTGTCGAATCCAGGTAAGCAGATTGACTGGCGCCATGCTGGCTCTGTACCTGAGTGCAGGCACCCACGTGGATTGTGTAAATGTGGCTCTGGAAATATCATGGAGGGGTAGTCTAAGGGCATGAGTGAAAAGAGAGATCAGTTTATCTACCCGCCAAACATCAGCATACACACACACGCGCAAACACACACACATGTTCAAGCACACACATTGAAACGTGTGTATGAGTATATTTACACACACACACATTCACACATATATCTTCTTAAGCTATCCGATTTTCAAATTAGAATTAAGAAATAAGTGCATGGGGGGAAAAAACTTGAGGTAAGGCTGAACATTAATACCCTCATTGCTGAGAACGCCGGAAAAATTTTAATCAGTACATTTTTTTAAACTTGCATTCATTTTCCCCAGCTCCTTTTATCTTATCTTGTTTAGTTTTCGTTCCGAATTAGTTCATCATCATCATCATCATCCTCATCATCATCAAGTGCCTTGTCAGCTCGTATGGGCGACAGTGAATCTCCACAGGTCTCGGTCTTTGGTGCTCTGGATCCGTTCCACTGATGATATTTCTCCATTCCACAGTCTTACGCCATCTACCATCTTTCTCTTGGTCTGCATCTGCCTCTGCCTCTTCTACCAGTGATCTTTCCAGTCGTCACGATATTTTCCAGTGCTCCTTTTCTCATCATATGACCAGAGAACTTTGTTTGTCTCCTTCTCAATGCTGTATATAATTTCTACTTTTATTAACCATTTTCAGGCATTCATTGTTGGTTATTATGGCAGTCCAAGGTATTCGCAACATTCTCAAGAACCACATCTCAGTTGCTTCTAAACTTTTCTTAATTTGTTTGCTCACATTCTAAGATTTATTGCCATACAACAGAATATGCTCGATGTAACATTTCAGTACTCGTTTTCAATCAATCAGGTGCCGTCTCGACAATGAAGGTTGGCTGCAATGGATCTCCAACAAGCCTTGTCTGTTGCCCTTGATGTACACTCACTCATACTGCTGTTCGTCTATCTCTTGATGTTATCCTCCCACTTGTAACGCTGTCTGCTTCTTGCTCGCCTACCTTGAACCTTTCCCCCTAGGATGATCTTTAAAATACTGTTATGTCTTTTAATGTGGCCAAAATATTTCACTTGTCTCTATTTTATTTCACCTAGCAACTTTCTTTTCATTCCCAATTTCCTCCGTACCTCTGTTTTTGATAGCTTTTGTTTCCATGAAATACGACCTAATCTTCTGTATATCCACATCTCCAAAGAATTGATACGATTTTCCAGTTGTTAGTTCATTGTCCATGTCTCTGTGCCATACAGTAAGGTTGAGAATACATAACATTTGACTATTCTCATTTTTAATGTATTGCTTATTTCGCTTGATGTCAGTAACTTTTGCATGTTGTTGAAAATGTTTTTTGCCATCCATATTCTTTTCTACTCGTTTTAGCTTACCCTATTCCTATTTTTTTTTTTAATTCCTAATCTGTGTGACTCTCTTTGTGGTGTGCTATCATTATTGTTGTTGTTAAATACTCTTTGATGGAAACGTCGGTTGGGTTTGTGCTCAAGAGTTTCCGTGTCCCTGTCAGAAGTTGTATTGTGTGAATTTACTTTTTGAAGACTGCAGTCACCTCTGTTTTTAATTTCTCCAACACATGCTGCCCTTTTCGGTAACTTTGATTGGAAACTCGTGGGAGGTGTTTGGTGGCATAATGTTAAACAGACAGACAGACAGATAGACAGACAGACAGACAGACAGACAGACAGACAGACAGACAGACAGACAGACAGACAGACAGACAGACAGACAGACAGACAGACAGACAGACAGACAGACAGACAGACAGACAGACAGACAGACAGCCAGCCAGCCAGCCAGCCAGCCAGCCAGCCAGCCAGCCAGACAGACAGACAGACAGACAGGGACAGACAGACAGACAGACAGACAGACAGACAGACAGACAGGACAGACAGACAGACAGACAGACAGACAGACAGACAGACAGACAGACAGACAGACAGACAGACAGACAGACAGACAGACAGACAGACAGACAGACAGACAGACAGACAGACAGACAGACAGACAGACAGACAGACAGACAGACAGACAGACAGACAGACAGACAGACAGACAGACAGAGTATTCGCTTATGTCTCTCTTGTATGTCGGTGACGCAGGCTGCCCTTCGGGGTAGCTTTGATCAGAAATTGTGACAGATTGTGTCCTTATGTTAAACACAGACATAAAGACAGACAGACAAACAAACATAAAGACAAACAGACACAATTACAGACATAAAAACAGACGTACACATATAAAAACTGATACAAAGACATACAGACAAATACACATACATATAGACTGATAGACACAACGACAGACTGACAGTCAAAATGAAGGACAGGCATACAGACAAGACAGACATAAAACCACACAAATAGAGAATATTAGCTTAAGTCGCCTTTGTATGTTTTTGACAAAGCCTACCCCAGGGGTAAATTTTATCAAAACCTGTGCTAGATGTTAGATTTCATAATGTTAAACAGACAAAATTAAAGAGAGACAGACAAACGCAATGACAGACAAACACAAAGACGGACAGACATAAACACAGACAGATAAATAGAATATTAACTTATGTCTTCTTTGTATGTTGCTGATACAGCCTTTCATTTGAAAAACATTAATCAGGACCTGTGACAGACTTTTGATGTCATATGTTAGACAGACATACAAACAGACATACAAACAGACACAAACACAAACAGACAGACATAAACACTGTCAGACACAACAACATAAATAAACATGGACAGGCAGACATACATATGCACAGACAGACATAAATAAAAAACACCTACAGATAGACAGACTATTAACTTACGTCTCCCATGTATATTGCTGACACAGCATGCCCGTGGGGTAACTTTGATCAAAACCTGTGCCAGATGTTTGACGACCAAACACACAATGTCAGGGTCAACTGCTACTCTCACCAAAAGAGGCGTCTTTGCTGTCAGACTTGTGAAAGACTGAAAGACTGGCTCCCACACAATTTGCCTGATGGTAAGACACCCATCACCTGAAAAGGAAAATGTAACTAGAATGTCTTTTTTTTTTTAATTATTTTTTCTGATGGTAAGAGGCCCATAACCTGATACAGAAAAAATAACTAGAATGTCTTTTTTGTTGGTAACCATAGAGTTAATAAAATTAACAAACGGAGACTAATAATAATACACAGAGGATGGAACTGAAGACAATAGAATAATATGGAGAAGGCAAAACGAGAGTTACAGGCGATGGGAAATGATAGAACGACTTTGCTCGAGTTGGCTACATAGACTGGTTCAAAGGGAGATATTAATCAACGGAGGAAAAGGGATATAGTTTATTAAGATATCACATTCAGGCGTATTGGTCAGATAAGGCTAGACATATATTTTATATGAACCAATCGACACTCGCTGGTTGATGTGGTTCACATCACGCCGGACGCATTTACTTCCCAGGACTTTACCTTGCACCCATTTAAGGCTGGGTGTACCTGCGAACCGAGGTCATTTTGTGAAAAAAAGTTCTGATCCGCCATGGACCTGAACCCAGGATCTTCGGATCCACAGGCGAGAGTCAAGCCGCTACACCACAGTAAGTAGAATAAAGGAAGGGCCTTTTTTTACGCCATCATGGGTATTGGACACATAGGGCTAGACCTATATTTTATAGACCACCCGGCACTTGGTGGGTGATTTGGTGACCACCAAGCTGGTCGCCTTTACTTCACATGACTGCACCTGGTACTCACTCAAGGCTGGGTCGACATGGAAGCCAAGGTAATTTTTGCAACAACAACAACAATAATAATAAGAAGAACTCCACAGGGGAGCATGTACAGCAGGAGTCTACCAATCATCAGAAGAAGATCAATGGTCGACAATTGTTTCGGCCCATCAATTCCTAGACAATTTCAGAGGGTGGGCCGACCTGGGTCATGACCCCCATGCCTCGATCTTCTACTGCTGCTCTTTACCGGATGTTCTCGGACAGGGACAAATGGTGACTAAGCAACCGGTACTATGGGATTCGAATTTAAATATATATATATTATATATATTATATAATATATATATATATATATTATATATATATATATATATATATATATATATATATATATATATATATATATATATTTTCTCGCTGCGATAGCCATTGCATCATCAGTGTGTTGCATACACCTTCAAAGAAATTGGTCTATGCCCCGTTTTCGGGAAACTGCACCCGCCATCACCGCTGTCTTCAGGTTACCGTGATCTTTAACGGCCAAAATATCTAGGCTTTCGGGCACAGGATGCTGTTTATTAGGCAATTCTTCTTGACACTGTGATATGTATGTGTCGATGTTTTAGAAAAAAAAAAATTAAGTCTGAAGCGACAGCTTGGCATATATTTATTTATGCAATTATTTATTTAATGAAATGATAATTGCCTGCATTTTAGTAGATATCCTTTTTTTAAATCGAAAATGAAAACTGTAATTATTGGCTGTTTGTGGGGATATATTATTTCATGTATGAGTGTGTGTGTGTGTGTCTGTGTGTGTGTGTGTGCGCGCGCGCGCTCGCGCAAGTGAATGATTATTTTTTTTTTAACTTGGGGACGTTATTCTTCTCGCTAAAGTAAGATTGAAACGTATTTAACATACAGCTTTTTAAAGAAATAAAAACATACTGACTGTGTTTGTGAAAATATATTTTGTTTTTACACAATAAACGATTTACCTGATGTTTCTGGCAGGGGTTTTGAGGTCCCATTCTCTGGGCACAAGAATAGGACAGACTGCCTCCCTTACAAGCATGTCGCCCGAGAGGCGAGGAACCGACATTCTGCCTACAAATAAGCCAAATCTGTAAAACTGATGTGCATGCAAAAGTCAAGTTCTGGAATAAGACTAAAGTCAGAAATGGGCGAACAACCAGAACGTCCCGCCAGAGTCAACAGCCGGTGAACTTCAAGACGAAGAAGGATGTGCCAATTTAGTAGGAAATCAAAAATCCTTTTAGCTGTGCTGGGACACGTTTTATTGGAAAATGACAGATGTATTAACTATGTTCGGACATATTTTATTGGAATAATGACAAATGTATTAACTATGTTTGGACATATTATATTGGAAACCGACAGATGTATTACATGTGTTAGGACTTATTTTACTGGAAAATGACAGATGTATTAACTGTGTTTGAACATATTTAATTAGAAAATGACAGATGTATTAATTGTGTTTTCAAATTCAGATTGCCAGTACGGAGACAGACCAGTGATTTTCTCCACCAGTCATTATGGGAGGCTGAACTGTTCCACGATTCTCAATTATTTCAGTGTCGATGAGTGCAGTACCAACCCCGCTGTGTATGTGAACTGTTGCTACACGTGTCATAGACATCTGCAAGGGCGAGGATGACCCGTCACAGACTCTCTAATGTTGCTTTCTCCCATTCTTCCTTCGGCTAATTATAATTGCAATGTACATAACAGAAATGCTGAAACTGTCTACTTAAGATTGTGAAAATTGTTTGCTGGTGACAGTGAATATATTAAATTCATGTTTTTTAATTACAACCCTTGGATTGTTATGTTGCATTATAAGAGCAAGAGAACGGCCGTGGAAAACATGGATTGACAACATTAAAGACACTCCACGCCTTCACGGCGCGACAATAGCTAGGGGCAGACAGGATGTACTGGATCGCAAATTATTCCTCCCGAAGACGCTTAAAGGCAGAAGTGGTGTATTATGACGATGATGATAATCAGACTGCTACACACCGATGTTTTAGTAACTGATCTTGGCTATAATGGTGTTAACAATTTGGAGAAAGAGTATTTTTGTTTTAGCGTGTCTTCATTAACTGTGGTTTGTATTCGAATGTGCTTTTTTTTTCAACAGTTTATTTCCTGATACTCAAGTGACCCTTCATAATAATGTTGGCAATTTAGCCAGTATAATCGATTATCTATAGAGGCAAATGCGATAAGTTTGAATATCAACATGTTCACGTGATTTGAACAACCAAACATACCTTAAGGAGTCACTATACAGATTTGTTTTATTTACAGTGTTAGACCAAATATTTTATATTGGTCATTTGTAGGGATATATTTTGATACATTTGCATACTTACGTTTAAAACAAATCATGGTTGCCATGGCAAAAGCCGCCATCTTAGGGGGAAAACATAAACTTAGAATGCTAAAATTTGAAAAACAAACAAAGGTATTGAGAAATAGATTATAGATTCATTAACTTTAATTTCATGTAGCGGTGCAGGTGTAGCTTATTTACTAAAGATGTTTCTAAATATTTTTCGTATAATTTCAAAGTGTAGGTTTGCTAAAAAAAAAAAGTTGCATCATAGGACAATAATAATAATAATAATAAAAGCTTTTTTAAATCTACTTATAAATAGATCTGTTTATATATTATTGTTTAAGGAGTATCCATACAAAATTTTATGTTTCTCGTCCTTATATTAGCTGAGATTTTAGGATTTTACACACACAACAAACAGAAATATAGAGTTATGAGAAGACTGACTTTCAAATCTTTTTTTTTTATCTTACAAAAGTGCATGGGGTGGTGTCTTTTGTATTATTTTTCAATGCTAAACTGTTTACAAATGAAATGAATTTTGTGTGTACTCTCTTTTACAAATGCCGAACTTAAAAAAAAAACACAGACATTGAAAAAAAAAGATATATTTGTCATAAGTTGGAAAAAAATGCCGTGTAGTGACCCATTAATCAAACACAAAGTCTAGGGAATAGTGAGTGGTTGATTTCCGCAGTAAAAAGTGCGAAGGTACCTAAGTGACAAATATACAACTCGGACTACAACTGTACAAAAGCAACAGCAAAAATCTGTTTCCAGAAATGCCTAATTCCTCCAACTAAACAACACGAGGGAGGGACATGTACCAAAATATCGTATTACGGGTTCGTTGCTGACATGGCATGAATAAATGCACAGGAACTCAACTACAAATATAATAAAGCAAATCACGTCCAGAGCAGTGGTGGTCAGTCTTCCTAATGCCGCGACGCTTTAATACAGTTCCTTATGTTGTGGTTACCTTTTAATACAGTTCCTTATGTTGTGGTTACCTTTTAATACAGTTCCTTATGTTGATGTGACCTTTTAATACAGTTCCTTATGTTGTAGTGACCTTTTAATACAGTTCCTTATATTGTGGTGATCCTTTAATACAGTTTCTTATGTTGTGGTGACCTTTTAACACAGTTCCTTATGTTGTGGTGACGTTTTAATACAGTTCCTTATGTTGATGTGACCTTTTAATACAGTTCCTTATGTTGTAGTGACCTTTTAATACAGTTCCTTATATTGTGGTGACCTTTTAATACAGTTCCTTATGTTGTAGTGACCTTTTAATACAGTTCCTTATGTTGTGGTGACCTTTTAATACAGTTCCTTATGTTGTGGTGACCTTTTAATACAGTTCCTTATGTTGTGGTGACTTTTTAAAAAAGTTCCTTATATTGTGGTGACCTTTTAACACAGTTCCTTATGTTGTGGTGACCTTTTAATACAGTTCCTTATGTTGTGGTGACTTTTTAATAAAGTTCCTTATATTGTGGTGACCTTTTCATACAGTTCCTTATATTGTGGTGACCTTTTAATACAGTTCCTTATGTTGTGGAGACCTTTTAATACAGTTCCTTATGTTGTAGTGACCTTTTAATACAGTTCCTTATGTTGTTGAGACCTTTTAATACAGTTCCTTATGTTGTGTTGACCTTTTAATACAGTTCCTTATGTTGTGGTGACCTTTTAATACAGTTCCTTATGTTGTAGTGACCTTTTAATACAGTTCCTTATGTTGTAGTGACCTTTTAATACAGTTTCTTGTGTTGTAGTGACCTTTTAATACAGTTCCTTATGTTGTGGTGACCTTTTAATACAGTTCATTATGTTGTGGTGACCTTTTAATACAGTTCCTTAAATTGTGGTGACCTTTTAATACAGTTCCTTATGTTGTGGAGACCTTTTAATACAGTTCCTTATGTTTTGCTGACCTTTTAATACAGTTCCTTATGCTGTTGCGACCTTTTAATACAGTTCCTTATGTTGTAGTGACCTTTTAATACAGTTCCTTATGTTGTAGTGACCTTTTAATACAGTTTCTTATGTTGTAGTGACCTTTTAATACAGTTCCTTATGTTGTGGTGACCTTTTAATACAGTTCCTTATGTTGTTTCGACCTTTTAATACGGTTCCTTATGTTGTAGTGACCGTTTAATACAGTTCCTTATGTTGTGGTGACCTTTTAATACAGTTTCTTATGTTGTGGTAACCCTTTAATACAGTTTCTTATGTTGTGGGGACCCTTTAATACAGTTCCTTATGTTGTGGTGATCCTTTAATACAGTTTCTTATGTTGTGGTGACCCTTTAATTCAGTTCCTCATATTGTGTCGACCCTTTTAATACAGTTCCTTATGTTGTGGTGATCCTTTAATACAGTTTCCTATGTTGTGGTGACCCTTTAATACAGTTCATCATGTTATGTCGACCCTTTTAATACAGTTCCTTATATTGTGGTGACCTTTTAATACAGTTTCTTATGTTGTGGTGACCCTTTAATACAGTTCCTCGTGTTGTGGTGACCATTTAATACAGTTCCTCGTGTTGTGGTGACCATTTAATACAGTTCCTTATGTTGCAGTGACCATTTAATACAGTTCCTCGTGTTGTGGTGACCCTTTAATGCAGTTCCTTATGTTGTGGTGACCCTTTAATACAGTTCCTTATGTTGTGGTGACCCTTTAATACATCTTCTCATACTGTGGCGACCCCAAAGATGAAATTATTTTCGATGAACAGTCGTGGCGACAGCACTACCCATGCGGTCTTAAAACCTCAGGCTAAAAGACCACCCGCCCCCCACCCCCACTCCTTCTTTCCCTCTCTGCTTACACCGCTAAAGTGGTATACTAAAGGCGGTAACTGGCACTTTGGCTACTTCATAACTTTAGTGAATATGTGTTTTCTGATGGTCTTGCGCGACACCTTTGAAAGGGTCGTTCGACCCCCAGAAGCGTCGCGACCCACAGGGTGAGAACCACTTGTTTAGAGACTTCATCAGGCTAAGATAACTTTCCAAATGAGTTCAGCTGAGCAAACAGAAGTTGTCCCCCCTTCGTTGTTACTTTTGATAATAGCTCAGTTAGTTCACACTGATTTGTGTTCTCTTTGCCTCACTGGACTGACCACTCATTTTTAAATAATATCAGCACTGCGTTCAGTCTCTTTAGCAGCGGGATCCAGCTATGGGTATATCAGAACTACAAATTCTACAAATATTATAGAGCCATTGACATTTTTCTCAGCGTCATTATCTTCATCATCATAATTATTATCACCATCATCCTAACCTTTGAAAAATATAGTAATTATTACCAAAATTTGAGAATCAACCACGGCGAACCTGAGAAACTAAGAAGTATCCCTCTATGGAGATATACAAGTTAAAAGACAGCGTTTATAGACAATAAACAATTTGAGATGTGCTGATGATATAGTGTTGTTACTAAAAAGTGAGGTGCGGCTGGAGACCTGAATTCGACACCAGGTAAAGTGATGGAGGTTTTCTTTCGGGGGCAAATTAGACACCCTAACCTGCACAGTCCGGTGTGACAGCACTAGTCAGGAGGCCCTAAATTCCCAGACCCCATTTCCCCTCCCCGACAGAAAAAATCTTATTTCGTGGAAACTACAGTAATAAAATACTGAAGTTCTGTAGAGATTAGGAATGGAAGGAGGGAAGAAGGGTTGCTGAAAGAAATGTTAAAAAGACATAACAAAAACCATACTGGAAAAGGGAGGGGGGGGGGGGCAAGGAAAGTTAGGAAACGATACATGTGGCGGGGGGAGGGGGAGAAACAACATCAAGAGATGGACGAACAATAACAATATGAGAAAGTGCACAACCAAGACAAGAGATAGAAAGTACTGCAGATCCATGGCAACCAACCTTCATTCTGGAGACGGTACGTGATTGATTATTACGATGACGTAAACTACTAGACCCTTTGTCACGCCTTCTGGCGTATGTGGGCATAACATTGCTAGATACTTGGCTTGCTTTGCTAAAAGAAAACTTGTCACGTTCAACCAGAATCCCCGAAGGGGGAGCTACAGGTTATATGTAACTGAGACTAGGTTATGTGTGCCATATAAAAAGGCTTAGCGTTTCACGCCACCAGAAGCCACGGAGAACACCCATGCAGTGTTGATACGATTTCAAAAAGAAAGACTAACACAATACTGTCCGACCGGCAACGAAGTCGTCTAACGGCAAGCTAATGGTAAACCCGGGCGGCCGATACAGTGCTAGATGGTGGTAGACCTTGGATTCAAACCGGGTCTCTTATGTGCGTAAATGCC